TTAAAAATAACATAGTGCTTGGAACTGCAGAACATGTGATAAATATAGATATTTGCAAATGGTGTAGAAGGCAGCAATTCACTTGAGGTTCTCCTGATGTCATAAAATGTACCAGCACAGTGGAATAGTTTGTAAACATCATCTGGGCCCCCGGGAGTGAGCTTCTGCCTTGTGCTTGTCTCTTGGGTGAATTAAATATATATTTTTTCTGGTTTCATGAGGTCATCTGCTAAAAGAGAAATATTTTAATGTGTTTGGTAAAAACACTGAATTATTGAAATTATTTACCTTTGTATACATAGTTAATATAGTAAATACTATATTAATTAAAGTTAATTAATTGTAAAGAAATTGTGCCACGTTAAATTAATGCTGTTTCATCATTTTGCCCTAATAGTTTAGTAACATAACTACCATCAAGTAGAGTAAATCATTTTATTGAGATTCATAAAATGAGTATGAACTAGTCTTAAAATGCTACAGTTACTCTTTTGCTCAGATATGATATAGTATAATGATTCCTTTCAGGGTTCTGAACAGTTTGTGTGCTTGAGGAAGGACACAGCTTTCAGATATCTAAGCCTAAAATAGTCATGTATTTTCACATTAAGGGTGAAATCTTGAAGTCAATGACAGAACTCTCATTGACGTCCGTGACGCCAGGATTTTAACTCTAACATAGACTATGGCCGGGGTTGCGGTCATTTGTAAGCCTCTAAAATCCTGATAGTGCCACCCTAGTCACCCAAATAAATAATTTTTACTTAGAATTCAGTGGGATTTCTCACATAAGTAAGGGTGACTCTTAGAGTCTCATCCTGCTTCCACTGACTTCAGTAGTAAATATTGTGGACAGAGGTGATGTGCGGGGGAATTAAGTGGGGTCACATCCCCGATTTGCTGCTTGGCTTGTACTGAGCATGCTCACACGGGCTGAGCCGGATGCCCTCACTCCAGCCCCCACTATTGTTAGGCATGGGCATCTCTGCTTGTGGAGGACATTAATGGACAAAGATTGGGCCCATAGTGTCATAAAAGTTTGCTAAAGAAATAGTACACTGCTGACAATACCTCATCCTGCCTTGAGTGTAAGGACTGGATTAGAAGACATCTCGAGATCCCTTCCATGGGGATACTATCATTCTATGACTCAAACTTGCAGTTCTTAGACAAAACTTGCTATTGAAGTCAGTGGAAATATCTTCTGTGAATAAGGTAAGCAAGCTGTAAGTTCTAATACTATACCGTGTCTTTAGGAACATCCCCGAGTGTGGGTTGATGTGTAAACTGCATTACTCCAAGAGGCATTGTGTCTTAGAAACACTTTTCTAAGGCACTGTCCCTCCCCTTGCTCTGGGGATAAGTATGGATTAGAAATTTCCAACTGGTCTATACAAGTAGAAAATTACAATACTTCCCACCCCCACCCACACAGACTAAGCTACATTTTCCCAAGGTGATTGTGGAGCAGAGTGGAGCCAAGACTCCACCCTATTTCTATCCATCTACCCCAGAGTGGGCAGCAGCAAGTGTATAGCACCCACTTACTCCCACAGATGTGGACCCAAGATCCAGATAGCCGATGAAGGGGTGCAGTGAGGATTCTTTATTCCCGTTATGTCTCTATGGATGTATAGTCTGCCACAATCTAGCTTGTAGCTAGCAATAATAATAGGGTAAGTGGCTTTGGTATAGTAATTTAATGTCCTTTATTTTTCCTCAATAAATTAGTAAATAATGCTATAATTTCTACAAGAATGCAATAGTAGCATTGACCGTAGTACTGTCCTCTAACTTTACACTAGCAAATGATCCCAAGGTAGTAATATCATTTTGGCAGAATGTGTTATAAAACGAACTAAATAAAATGATGTTGCATTTGAGTTTCCAACCTGAAAATTGGAAGCGGCAATGAAAATCAAGTTTAACTCAGCCTCACATACTTAGGTGGCTTTACATCCTGTTAATAAACTATACTCAAGTCCATTCACTCCAAGCATGAATGATCTTGAATTGCTCAAACCGATTATTAATTCATCTTTCTGATTTCAAGATTGTCTTTGTGGCATTAGTCTGTCTTTTTTTTTCCCCCGCCCTGTATGAAAACAAGTATGCAAGTCTAAGGATACATGGAATCATCAGGAGATAGACATATGCTTGCCTGCAGTCTCTGTGGGTCTTGCAGGTTCAAACGTAACCTGCCGGAATCATAAGAACTTTAATTGAGTAGATAAAGAGGTCCTCATAATTATAAACTGCAGTAGGTATAACAAGAGGCTAAATACATAGCTGTGGTTTTAATTAGCTGGTGCTTCAAATTAGTAATTGTGGTTTCACTCAGAAATCAGTGACTTTATACACTGTCAAAGCCTCATCACTGTGCAGTTCATTCCTCATTATATCTCTCTATGTGAAGCTTCTAATACAACATCATACTGAGCTAAAAATGCAAAAGTTATAGATATTTGGTTATCTTCCAAGTACAGTAGAGCTCTATGGAGATTAAATTCATTCTCATCAGGATATCAGAATTCACTGTTCTCCGTTACATAAGTGTGTGCGCATGTATATATAAAATCTAGCAGGCAAATATTTCTTACAACAGATAACGTCAGTGTGCATACTTAATCTGCTATTCAAATTGTCATCTGGAATTTGTAGCTATTTAACGGACACAAAATAGAGCCAAAAGTCTTATAACAAATCAAATAGAGGTTGAAAGCACAGAAGTGTCCCTTAATACTTGTCGCATGAGGGGTTGTCAATGCAAGTGGATACATGCATCTCTTCTTTTTTTTTTTTCCCCCTCTTCAGTGTTTTAATTACATCTTTTCCCTCAGAGGAGCAGGAAGTAGTTTGCAAAGGCAAGAGACCAAAGTACTTCAGTCCTGTTCATGAGAGAAGTAGACGTGATCTCTCAGCTTGTCATCTAGGTCTGGCAGGTGCACAAAGTGAGCTGACATAAAGATAACTGACGTCTTGCTATCACTACTCTGAGGCGATAGACATTTTTTGTTTATTTGCTTGTGTGCAGAATTATCTGCCGCCGAAGCCAACTAATCTAACGTCCTTCCCTTCTGAACAGCACTAAATGAAACATTCTTTAATCACCCCCTAGGTCTAAGCTGGCCATTTCACCCCATTTTTAGGCGGGCAGTCCTCTTTTTTTGCGTGGTTTGGCCCCGGTCTGATATTGAGATAGAATCGGATATGGTTTTGTCTGGTATTGTATGAGGACACCATTTTGAACACCAAGCTCTTATCAGTGTGATATAAGTGTGATATCGCATGCAGCATGCCTGTGAGGTCACGCCAATGGGGGCAGAGTGGCATGCTCTTCAAAATGGCGTCCTCCATACAGCATGACCTTGTACGCATCATGCGTGCAAGGTCACACTGGCAAGGGTGGGGTCATCTGACCAGGTTGGGCCTATACCATTTCAGGAAGTACTGGAATGTCCAGTACTCTGGGAATACATGAGTGGTCCACCCTCCCTATGCCCACAACTAAATGATACATAAATGTTAACAAGTATGCGGGATTGAAGTAGTTGTTCTGAATCACACTTGGCTGCAGTAGAATGTTGTGATGTAGGCACATGTTACACAGTTAAAGGAAACTGAAGATGTCACTATGTCTAGTTGACTCCATAGTTGTTTCTCCATATAGGTATATTCTTTCTCTGTGTGTGTGTGCGTGTGCGTACATACACGTACGCACACAGCGTGCCTACATATTTATACATGTACACTTATAGACAAGTTGTACTGGATTTTTTCTGGCAGAAAGCACCATCTGGAAATGGCAGATTTTGTGTGTTTTTTTAATTTTAGAATGACTAGTTCTATTTAGAGACATGGTAGGTGAGGTAATATCTTTTATTGGACCAACTTCTGTTTGTGGAAAAGATAAGCTTTCCAGCTTTGCAGAGTTCTTCTTCAGGTCTGGAGAAGGTAACGAGAGTGTCTAAACTAGATATAAAATGGGACAGGTTAAGCATAAGACGTTCACATATGCTGTAGGAGACCACTTAAAATGAAGTGGGCAGTTAAGGGTTAGCAGACAGTAGGGTGTTTACAAATGGTTGTAATGACCATAAATCTGGTGTCTTTTACTGAGTCTATGGTTTTCAGTGCCCAGCAGAGTTAGGAATTTATGTTTTCAGGCTCATCTTGCAGAGGTGTTGTGCAGATTTCCTTTGAAGATGCTCACCCACGGGTGATAGGGTGTTTTTATCTTTTATCATTTTTTCTGTGAGAGTTCATTTGAGAGAGTAGTGATTGTCTGGTTTCACCCACATAGTTATTGTTGGAGCATTTGATGTACTGGATGAGGTACACCACATATGATGGGCATGGGTAGAAGACATGGATCTTGAAAGGTGCGTTCTGAAGGATATAGATCATTGTAGCAGTCTACAGGTTTTGTATCTATTGTTCCGGCAGAGTCTGGTGGCACTTTGAGTTGGACTGTGGGGAGCTTGCTTCTGATGATGAACTTGGCTAAATTGGGGGTTTGTTTGAAGGCAAGAAGGAGGTGGGGGTGGGAAAGATTTCTTTCAGGATGTGATCCACCATCAAGTCTGAGTTGTAACTTTTTGATGATACCCGTTATGGGTTCTAGCGTGGGGTGGTACTGGAGCAGGTTCTTCCATGGTAGTTGGATGGTTCGTTCCATGATGTGGTCTGTTTTTCTCATGGAATATCCTAGTGCAGTGAATGCAGATTTTAAGTGTGTTTAGGTGTGTATGCTGGGATTTCTCTTTGGAACAAATTCTGTAATATCTGAGTGCTGGGCTAAATAGCTGTATTTAGTACGGTATTATGATCCCAAATTTACATTTGGGAAAACTGTTGGATGGATTTCACTCTCTTTCAAAGTCATCGGTTTGAATTGCACTGTTTCCAGTGTTTTGTTCCTAATATTGTTAACAATGAATGTTTAACTGACATATGGGGAACATAATTGCTTGTCTTTTTTGTCTTATCCTCTTTTTCAGTCACTATGAGCAAGACCGGAGTGCACTTAAAAGGAAAGAATGGGAGCGAAGAAATCAAGAAGTCCAGCAAGATGAAGATCTCTTTGCTTCAGGTTTTAATCTCTTTGGGGAACCCTACAAGGTAAATGGCTATATGATACTTTACACTTTTAGAGTGTCTTTCATCTGAATGCATTTTGCCAATACTAATTAAGCCTTACCTCTGAGGAAGAAAAGTATTATGATGATCTTGATTGTCTGACTCTACAGATAGTTAGACCTTTGAAATTAGTAAATTGAAGCACAGTCAGGTTAAGTAACATGGCCAACGTTATACAGCATTTTGGTGACAAAACCAGGGATTGAAACAAGGAGTTTGGATTCATATTCCCTTTTCTGAACATTCTGCACACTCCCTCAATAAGTATATATTGCTCTCCAAAGGAATTTTTACTTAGGTTTTCCTAACTCCAAAATGACATTTAATCTCTTTATTTTTAAAGAGGAAAATATACTTGATTTGTTCAAACCAGAATCTCTTCGTTTAATTATGAGCCCGGAAGCTCTCCCTTTGCAATCATAATTGTCCAAAGAAGTGTTCAGGGAGAATGTCTGTTTGAATTCTTTGGGGAGCATAACAAGGATATCAAAGAGACTTACGATGAGACTTATTCTCTGTAAGGAGCTTTGCTGTCTGAGAATTTCATCACCAGGGGATGTCCCCCTTGATTATTTCTGCTGCTTTGATTTGTAGCCAGGCATCCCCTGATGGATTCATCAGAATGTAAATGTACATGTCACTTTCTCTTCCCAATCAGTGACATCCATTGAAAGGCCACCACTTTAGCATTCCATTTTATATTGTTAGCAGCTGTAGGGAGGATGAGTGCTCTTTGCAAATCACCAGTAAGGGAGAAAGACCAGCATCGTTATGAAGGGGTGGTTCATAATTATAGGTTGGGAGACTGTTTCAACCAACTGGGGACAGTAGTTTACTGGTTAAAATCTAATCTTGCAAACTACAATGGGATGTTTTATGTTGGGCCACCCCCTTTCTCATGAGGAGTTCACATTTACTACACACACAATCCCGTTGATTTGAGAGAGACTCCTTGCAAAGTAAGGCCCCAATCCTGCAACCATTAGTGCATATTCTTAATTGGATGAATGGGTCCTTTGATTTCAGTGAGACTACACGTGGAAGCAGAGTTAAGCTTGTGTGCAAGTGTTTGTAAGAGCTATAGATCCACTCAGTGTCAGTAAGGGTAGCAGAACCTAATCCATTGTGGTTACTCTGAATTACTGAATTCAGCTGTATCTACTACTGAAATATGAAATCCTGTAGGAATAAAAAGGGACTATACCGCACAGAGGATCTACATGCTTTTGATTTGGATGGGTTTGCAGCAGCTAGTTAATCTTTTCTTTTGTATTTCATAGCTTTTGGTTTATTGCAGATGAATTCGATATCGAGTAGCTCTTCCAATAATGGGATACTGATTGCAAAGGTCTGAAATGAGCATCCCAAATTTAAAAAAAAAATCACAACTGAGTTCTAAGGTGGGTTGACTGTACAGTGGCTCATTTTAATGGAAGTGTTTAAAATGTTCCAAATGACCCTAGTGGATCATTTCTAACTACTATATTATCTCTCCCAGTATGCACAGATTACGTTCATGAGAGATAACAAGTATGGCCCTGACACTGCCAACACTTATGCATGTGCTTAATTTGTTTCTATTCATATGCTTAAAGTTAAGCTTGTGCAAAAATGTTTGTAGAATCTAGGCCTCTTGATATAAAATGTTCTGTGTGCGAGAGGGAAAGCCAAATGTTGGGATGTTAATCTACCAAGAACATGCAAGTATGTGGGGGAACAGTTTTACAACATGTAGCAATATGATTGAGCACTTCCCCCTCCCCCCAATTATTTGTGTAGTTATGACTGGTATATTACATCACTTAGATGAAGAAGAAACTTGACACATTCACTGCACTTGATGTAATGAAGCGCAAAAAAAAAAAAAAGTTTTCATAGAGTCAGAGAGTTTTAAGGCCAGAAGGTCTCACCAGATTATCTAGTCTGACCTTCTGTGTGTCACAGGCCACCAACACCATGCTCAGGTTCATCTGGAGATGGAGTGTCATGATTACTCCTCTTGGAATTGTTTTTAGTCCTGGCCTTCTGCTCCCACCTAGTTAAGCTACACTTTAAAGATTGATAATAAGACACAGCATTGGAGTTTATGGGATGAAATAGATAGGAGACTAATGAAAAATCAAACAATATGGATCTTTGAAATAATTTCTAAATGTAGAGAAATAAGTCCAGATTTTTAATAAAGGCTTATGGAAATGTGCAAGTAAGAGATTGAAGCTTTACGAAAATGCTTATTGACCTCATAGAATTTGTGGGGGCAGTTTTTCATTGAGGATGTACTGTGTGTTTAAGATAAATAACACTTTCTGTCAAAGAGAGAGGTCCTCTAAATGCTGATTTCTTTTCTAGCAATGCGTATGGTTTTTGAGTTGGCGTTCTGAAAATATATTCTCATTATTGTCAAGGTTTATTTTTTTTTGTCTTCCTCCTCCCGTTCATTTTGAAACAATGAATTGGGTGGAGAATTTACCCAAAATTAACTTAAACAAAATAATACAGAATTTTCATCATGAGAATTAAAAATTATACACTTCAAAACCATTCTTAATATCTACTGTGCCCTCAGAAAGATATGTTTTAATTTGCTAAAATAGTCCCTACATTTTGAAATTTGTGTCCACTTGCTCAGAACTGGACAACTGAGTACACAATACCTGCATTTAAAATCTATGCATTTCTATAATAGCCCTTAAAGAATAGATATATTACTTTCAAAAATATCTATCATCACCCGTTTTACAAGGTGAACTCTTGAATACAACTTCTTTAGAATTGTACTCTCTTAGAACAGCATAAAAATTAGTGTAAAAATTGTTGTGTATAAATAAATTGTTAAACAACCAAACACAAAAATAATAGTTTTAATTTGTTTTAAATCCACAGAAGCAAGGAAAATTAAGACTATATATATCCTTAATATTCATTTTATATATATATATATATATTTATAATAAACTCCACCCATTTTGTCTTGATTTTTACGTCAGGAGGAATTAAGGACAAAGTGGTTGTCTGATATTTCCTTTATAGCAGTGGTTCTCAAACTAGGGCCGCCGCTTATTCAGGGAAAGCCCCTGGTGGGCCTGTTTACCTGCCGCGTCCGCAGGTTTGGCCGATTGCGGCTCCCACTGGCCGCGGTTCGCCACTCCAGGCCAATGGGGGCTGCAGAAAGGGCAGCCAGCACGTCCCTCGGCCCGCTTCCTGAAGCCCCCATTGGCCTGGAGCAGCAAACCATGGCCAGTGGGAGCCGCAATTGGCCGAACCTGCAGACATGACAGATAAACAAACCTTCCTGGCCCGCCAGGGGCTTTCCCTGAATAAGCAGCGGCCCTAGTTTGAGAACAACTGCTTTACAGGATTGTGCTATTAAGGGCCCAATGCAGGTTCCATTAATGTTAGTGGAAATTTAACTGATGACAAATGGGGGCTGGATTTGACCCTTAAAGACAGAGTTGTGATTTATGTTACAAAGCAAGTGCAGAGAGTGAACTCTGGGCCTGATTCGTGTTTATGAAAGAGCAGTGTAAACCAGCCTTAAAGTGAGTGTAAATGTAACTTATGCCCCCTTTTAAAGCCTCTTTACACTACCAGATGCAAAGGATCCTTGGTATGAATGAGAATTAGGCCCTCTGTATCCAACAAGAATAGTGCAAAGTGCACCCACTTAGTCTGCTCTGGTTGCTGCCGATGACGGTAACATCAAAAGAGAGCATGTTTGGACTTATTTTCCAACATTTTGACATACTGAAATTGTATTCAATGGTAAACCCTGTGTACTTTTAATGTGTGTGAGGAGAAGCAAGAGGGATTTGGGAATAGATTTGTTTCTTTTCCAGTCAGAACAAATTCTGATTTCAGTCGCATTAATGTAAATTACTTCAGATTTACTCTGATGTCGCTGAGATCAGAATTCTGGTCCATTCTCCTGTATCCATAACCAGGAGTGGCAATGCCACTTGTCCAAAATAAATGAAGCTGCCAGCAAGAAGCAAGCAGACCCTCAATTAGGTTTGCAGAGGAAAGGGAAAGAGAAGGTATCCATCAAATGCAAATGGAGTGACCTTTCACCACGCATGGGGTCAGATCCTCAATTAGCAAAGTCAATAAAGTTAATGGAGCCATGCTGATTTACATCAACTAAAGATCTGGCCCATGAATTTCCAAAGGACCACAGAAGTTGAAGTGGGGAGAAGAGAATCTGAGAAATACAAAACATCTCTCTCCATCTCGTTGGTTCCCTGTTCTAATATCTCTGTTCTGCACACCCACCCTTCCCCATTCACTGCAGCATTTAACCCAAAATGGGGAACTATTGGATGGGGCTGCTGCCAGTGCCACTTCGTATGAGGACGAGAAAACAGGTAAATAGCCAACACCTGGTAGATAAACTGTAGCTGCTTGGAATGTTAAAAATAGTCCAGAGAGACAAGGTGGGTGAGGTAATATCTTTTACTGGACCAACTTCTGTTGGTGAAAGTAACAAGCTTTCGAGCTCCATAGAGCTTTCTTCATACCCGGGATGAAGTAGCCTGAAGGAGAGCTCTGTGAAGCTCAAAACTTGTCTCTTTCACCAAAAGAAGTTGGTCCACAAAAGATATTACTTCACCCATCTTGGCTCTCTCATGCCCTGAGACCAACCTGCCGACAAACACAACAAACAAAAATAAGCCAGGGAGACGTAATTTCGTGGGCAGAAGTGCAACATAAATATAGTTTATCATGTGGCTCTCTGCCATGAATTATATGGATATCACCATCACTTGTATACTTATGGAAAGGCTGCCTAATCACCTATTCCTTTATTATGTCCGTCTATCTTATCTACTTTTCATAGGGGTGTGTGTGTGTGTGTGTGTGTGTGTGTGTGTAGAAAGATGTTCTTTTTATGTGCCAGAGTCTCATGCAGAAAATATTTCAAAAATATTGTGCTGTCTACCACAATTTTGGCCAGCATGGATAAAGAGGTATGAGCACTGCCTATTGCCAGTTATGGATCATGTGAGCTTTCTAGAGGTCTCCCTTTCAAACACTGATACTGCTTAATTTGTCAGAGCTGACTAGATCACAGCCTGGGGTCTCATGAATGCAGATGCTTGAATCAGCAGTGTAGGAATTTTCCTGGCAGAGGCTGCAGTTTTACTAGGGATACCCTTTAATGTTTTGCATTATTAAATAGGTTTGGATATAATTAGGGGTTTTTTTTAATTTTTTTTTTGAGGTTTGCCTTGAAATAGTTCAGCTGGAGAAATAGGACCCAATTGAAAGAATTTTCTTTTGCATGAGTCTTTGGAGAATGTTAAATCTTTTTTAGGTATTGCCCCTTCACTGTGTTCAAGCATAGCATAAAGTATCTCACCTTCTAGTCCGTAGAGGTTAGTTATGCTGGGAGGCATGAGAAAATGAATGAATTATGAAACCTCAGGCTTTCATAGGAATTGTCACAAAACCCATATTAATTGGGCCCATAAGTCTGAATGCATTAGTTTTGTTCTTTGTAGAACCATAATGCAATAGCTAGTGAGCAAATTAGCCTTTCAATAGGATTTTATTTCTGATTTTTTTTTTAAAGCAGTACAGCCAAACATAGAAAAGTGTGCACTTCCTAAATTAATGAGAGGCTAGAGGGGGTGGGGGGAGTACTGCTCGTGGAATACTCAGAAGATACGTTTCCTTAATGGTGGCAAAACCACAGTTCAACTTGTTGCTCAGAAAATAGAGTAGAGAAGTTTCCTTTAAGAAATCAATGGATTATCCAGAAGAGGGTGTTAAAAATGTCCCCTACCTGGTAACATGTAATGGCCGGAAATAGTTAATTTCATTTTTGTAGTGCTTGTAGCAAGACTAGCCAGGCATACCCTGCTTTTCAATAAGAATGCTAAATCTGTTGAGGAAGAAAATAAAAATATTACTGATATGTGTCAAGACTTAAGTCTAGATTCTGCCCTGAATTACACACAGTGCCCCTCGTTGACTTCAATGAGGTCACACAATGAGGAGAGTTTGGCCCTAGGGGTGCATTTTCTATTTGTGTTTTACTGTATTTCAAGCTACAGTGGACTATTTATTGGCAGAGGTATTTATGTTTTGAGGGCCTGATCCAAAACCCATTAAAGCCACTGATAATCTTTCCACTGACTTCAGTAAGCATCGGATCAGGATCTGAGAGAGTTTTAAAATAGGCTCAGGAGGTTTAAATTAATTATCTCTGTGCTTTTCAGAAAAGGGTTTTTTTCATTAATACTCCCAGAAAATGACTACAAATAATAATACCTTACATTTATTAAGTGCCTTTCATCCCAAAGGATGTGAACATTTTGCATAAAACAGAGAGCTAGTGTTAAGTGAAATGACATTTAGCATTAGGTGACATGTTTAAAAAAAACCTGAGAGTCAGATACCTCTAACAGTAAAAATGATTGAAAATCCATGTATTAAAATTAAAATATTGAGTCTCTCTGTGAAGGCTTAGAGAAGAAGCTCTTTTATGTGCTGCTGTGATATTAAAATGTTACAGTGCAATAATGTGTTCCTGGTACTCTTTTTACTTTTCTCCTTTACTTTATGGATAGTAAGTTAAGTGTAAATTGAAAATGTAACCAAAATGCTGATGAAAGCGAGTGGTTCTGGACTTTCTAGATACTTAGCCATCACGTGGGCTGTGTCTCAAAGAGTTAAAACGTTTGGTGGGGAAGGAAGAAACAGCACAAGTATGTAAGTGTTTAAGGCTTGCATCATAATTCCTGCTGTGCCCTTAAGCACAATGGAATCTCCTTGTTTTAATTTTGGGGGTTGAACAGAGAGTCTGGTTTTGGCTGCTGCCCAGATGGCACATTGTGCAACTCAGTTGAAGGAAACTGCTCATATACAAAGAGGTCATTCTTGGCTTAGCTCGAATATATTTTTTGCCACTAAAATGACCAACCTAGGGACTTTTAGTGAACAAAAGTGATTCCTAGTCCTGCACAGCTGTAACTATTAACCATCTCGGTTAGAAGCAACTCATACAGATGAGAACAACACTGGACAGTTAACATTTAAATTGCTCCTTCAATGCAGTGGTAATATACATTATAATTCCTGCAAGTTGAGATAGAGAAAATCAGCATTTATTATCTTTTCCCCCAAATGTTTTATACTGCATGAGAACTACCAAGAACATAAATCTTTTTGCAACATTTCTCTCCTCTATAGTTGAGCATTGGAAATCTAAGCAGATATTCCAAGAGGAATCCATGCATGAATTTTCTGTCTTCATTCTTTCTTTTGCTCATTTCTTTTTGCAACATTTCTCTCCTCTATAGTTGAGCATTGGAAATCTAAGCAGATATTCCAAGAGGAATCCATGCATGAATTTTCTGTCTTCATTCTTTCTTTTGCTCAGCGTTTGGGAGGAAAGGGAGACTTAACTTGAAGTATGAGCATGCTTTGAGAGAAATTATATGAAGTATCAAGCCCTACCTCACATATATTGTAGCTTCAAACTCTGCTTCCAGATTGTCGAAGTTCAGCATATGCTTGGACAGGAATGATAGTTTTGAAAGCAGTGTTTCTCACCTCTTGAGTCTGATAAAGTAACGCGTGTATAGGGAATAGGCTGTTTTAATGCAATGCTGGTCATTTCAGCGGAACGTCAAGGGTTATAAGAGGACTGCGTTTCTTGGTTCTATGTTGGTTGACTTTTTTTAAAACAAAAAGGAAAATGAAATTAGCTGCATATCAATTATAACCTTTCAGCTTGTTCACCCAGTCTACTATATATAGCATAGTAAAAACCACTTCAGAATGAAAAATAATAGTAAAACATAGATGAATCAGAACCTACTTCATGATTATTGTGATTTGAAGAGAAGTGTGAGTGACTGATTCATGAACACACCACACTCTCAGCCAACAGAGGCCTCCTGGTGCTTCAGAATATAGAAATTACATGCTACTTTAGTACATCTTTGGAACACTCTTTTAGTAGCAGTTAATTCACCAGTTGGAAGCAGTATGTTTTCTAGATCTCAAATGTTACGTATATTGGGCCAAACTGAGCCCTGTATAAAGGAATCATTAAAGTTACACATGGGATGAATTTAGCTCCTTATGTTTATTGTCGGTTTAGCCTGGTTTATAGCAATAACATATTTAAATAAAATGTTTGATTTTAATTCAAATACTCAATAACCAGTAATTGTACATTCCCATTTTGCAGAATATAAAATGTACAAGCCCAACTTATCTGACATAAAACCAGACTGTTTTGCTCATAACATCCATAACTGATGTAATTTAAATATTTCTCTGAGAACATATTTAAGAAAAAAGGAAGCAGTATACAAATGTTACTCATGCAAGCCTGTTCCAAGAGGTTCTTTGAACACAGTTATTGATGAGTTTTTCTTACATAACATATGCAAAATGTAATTGAAATTAAATTAAATGTCAGCATGACGCTATTAAGTAGCTAACATTTGCTGTCGTTTCCTAAGACAACCATTCCAAGCAGTAACTTCACAACCAGGAATTTACTCACTCTTTTCCCTATGTCTTTTTGGTATTTTAGACAAATAAAGGTGATGCCCTTGCTAACCGTGTCCAAAACACATTGGGAAACTATGATGAAATGAAGGACTTGTTAACCAACCATTCCAACCAGAGCCACCTTGTAGGAATCCCAAAGAATTCTGTACCACAGACTCCCATTGACAAAAATGAACAGAACTTTTTTCCAGAACAGAGAAACAGGATGATTCCGTCTCACCAGATCAGTGGTCACTCGTCAACGTCAATGCCCCCACCTTCTTCACTGTCATCAAATTCTACTTTGCTACACAGTCACCAGAGCAGCAGGAAATCCAGGACAGATTGGTCACGTGGTGGTCACAGCTCTAATGGTGCACAGCCAAGCCAATCCAATAGTCAACAGAGTAGGACAAAACATAGCTCTTCACATGACCAGCCTCAAGGCAGGTACGACGATCTCTACAACTGTCAGAGTGAACAACATAAAAATGGAGGCGCTGAGGAAGCAAACCCGGCTCCATCATCTTCACATTCACGGAGGCACAATCATTCCAAATCAACAACTGGAGAACATTCTTATAAAGAAAACAGTCATTCCAAGTCACCTGTAGAACTTGAGTTTGTAGGGCACGGTCCTGGATCTCCACTTCCTTCTACATCTTTGTTATCTGCAAACAATGGTCTCTCAACCCAGAGTTTCCCACCAGGACTGCATTGTAAAACTAGCATGGTCCAGCAAAAACCTACAGCTTATGTAAGGCCTATGGATGGTCAGGACCAAGTACCTAATGACTCACCTGAACTGAAACCTCCAATAGAAATTGAGAGTGGTTATGGAAATCAAACATTTGGAACACTGTTGGAAGGAAAAGCTAATGCACCCAGTTCTAAGAATAAATTACCAAAGCTTACCATTCCTCAAGCCAGCGAGGTAAGTCATTTTCTTAGTTCACTTTTTTCTGGAATCTTAACAGGTCTGACCTGATGAGTATTTAACCTAGTGTATGTCTGTTTCTTTAAGTATGAAGTTCCAGTTCCTGAAATTGTGATCTGAAAAGACACCCCTTTCCTAGAAAATGAATGGTTATATTTTCTTTTGGTAAGGATTGTTGTGACAACCCTAGTAAGCAGCGATACATCAATTTTTAAAATCAAAGTGTGGAATGCTAACTTTGGTTGTGTCACACTAACAGTAAAAGGTCAGATCCTTGACTGGCCACAGCACTCTAATATATCTTAATTCAGCTGCATTGTTCACAGTTTTGCAGATTTATTTTGGAATTAATCCGATTTAAAGAATGCTGTTATGCACTGTGCCAAAGGAGAAAAAAAATCTAAAATAAACTTGGAAATTCTTTGACCACTTTAATGCCCATTGTACAGAACTGCTAACAATAAGGGGTACGTTTTCATTGCTCATTTCCCATTGACTTTAATGGAATTAATGTGCCTTAAACTGTGAGAAACACTTTTGAAAATGTATCCCGTTAAGTCTTCATGCATTTTTCAATAGCACTTAGCAGTGGGATTCAATGCCAATTCCTGGCACCAAGAACTTAAATTGCTGAGTTTTGTGTTGCTGGTCTGTTACAACAGTCCTGTGATTAAAGTTATAATTAGCTCTTATTTCTCTCCTGGACACTTCAAGCACAGCTGTATTGCAAGGGTACCAACTGAAGCATTTGTACTGATATAATAAATTTCTTATTCAGAGTTGCTCTAAAGCAGTAACCATTGCAAGGTAGGATTTTAGTACATGCATGAACAGAGTTACAACATGGGATTTTCATAGCTTTCTGTTTTCCCCCAAGATTACTTCCCTGCTTGTTAATATTTTTATACCAGAAATAAGAAATGATTCATTCTTAAGACACTTTATTGGAAAAGGTCAGCTTTTCCTATTGGAATAATTGTTTTGAGCCAATAATTTGTTTGACTGTTTAAAAACTTGATGTTATTTATTAACATTCCAGGCAGCAACAAAGACTGATGTGTTTTGCAGTAGAGTTTGGAATAATTTTTCTGGGAACTGCATCTGAAAACAGTAAAAAGGCCTATTTATATCAGGTGGAAGCTGAGGGTTGCTTGCAGATGGCATTTTATTAGAAAATGTATTTGTTAATAAATGTAGCTTTGCACAAGATTCCTTTACAGATGTTTCTGTTTATTTTTACCTTAGGTTAGAAATCTGCTGATGTAGATAGCTTCATACTCTCTTGCAATTTATTGCTAGTGGTGTTTGGCAAGTAAATAATTGCATATAAAAGAAATAATGATGGTGCAAAGGCAAATACATTTATTCACTTTTGATCTCTATTAAAATAACAATGAGTCAATAAGCACACTTTGAAGTGCAGCGTTAATATGGAGTATCTCTCTGTAGTGGAACTTTAGGCTTACACCGTGGATCAACTTTTCCTCTACGTTCAGCACAGGAGGGTGAAATCCTGGCCTTGTTCATGTCAGTGGGAGTTTTGCCATTGATCTCAATGACGGCAGGGTTTCCTCCAGAATCTGTTGGTATAGCTTTAAATACAACTGATGTGAACCATTTGTTTTTATTAATGGAAAGGCTGGTAGTCACTCAGATGAAAAAGTTATGTGGTGAATTTGTGGCTATAGCTGCTTTGGTTTATAGCCTGTGTAGCGAACACTTTGTGTGTATAATTAGCTTCATTTATTATGGGGTAAATAGTAAACTCAATTCACTTCAGCAGTTGACTACAGATAATAATCTTAAAACAGTCCATGTGTTATAAAAGCGAACAATGAATGGCAGAGGGAGAGAAAAGCTATGCAGCTATGCTGCAGTCAGGAATGACTTCCTGCTGCTATGTAGAATGTACGGCATGGGCCAAAGCCAATGGTCCTCACACAGGCAAAACTCCACTTGATTTAAGGATCATTTTGCCTGTGTAAGGACTGCAAACTTTGCCTCTGTATGGTTTTCCACTAATGTGCGTTCTGAATGTAATTTAACTTACATTTAGCAATAAAACTCTTTCTAATCCAAGGTTATAGATAACTAGTTTAGTAAAAAGAAAAGGAGTACTTGTGGCACCTTAGAGACTAACCAATTTATTTGAGCATGAGCTTTCGTGAGCTACAGCTCGCTTCATCCTGAAACTAGTTTAGTGTAAGCTTAATCAGAACTGAGAGGGCACAACTGTGAAACCCATAACATTTTCGGAATGACAGCAGAGAGGGGGGGCTCTGTTGTAATCTTTATACAATTGACGTGAAGGATTATGATTATTTGGGGGTGCATGTCAATTTATGAACCTTCCCTAGCTGCCACCAGCAGTTGTGATCTGCTTGAAACAATTTCATTTCTGACACATGAGGTTCCATGCTAATAACATTGCAGGTGATGATGACCCCTTCAAACCATTGGAAGGAAAGTTGCCTTTTTGGGTGCTTCTTATGATTTGCTCTGTAGGTTCCCTTGGATGCTCAGAGCCAATTTTTCAAACTTACCCCAGCCTTTAAATCCACCCACCAAGACGGCACGGCCAAGTTTTTGGGTGCTCAAGTTTTTGCACACCTCAAAACCTGGAGTTATATGAACAAATTAATTTTGTGTGTGCAAATTGTGCATATAGACCTCTGCAAGACCAGGCTATGCAAATCTGTGCATGCAAATCAGAGGATTTGGTTCTGCTAAAACTTTGATACCCAAAAATGACTGTCCAGGCACGCAGATTTAAAGGATGGGTTGAGGCCACTGTGAAAATATGGTCCTGTTTATCATGGCTTTATACAGAATGTTTAGTGCCCTGGAGGCATTCTGCTATGCTTGAGGAAGTGGTCAATTTTATAGCATGCTTGGTGTTACTTGATTGGGCCCATGTAGCCCTCAACTCGGTTAGAATTAACAAACATTTGTTCAGTCATTGCTAAGGGAAGAATCAGGCACACTGTGTATCTGCCATATCCTTTGGGGATTATTTTGGTGATTGCCGGATCCTTCAGTCCTTTGCTTTTCCTCTTGGGTATGAATATAGATAAAATATCTAACATCACTTCCCTGTGCATAGTTACTATTTTCTCATTGTCAAGGTCAAAATTCTTAGAACAACAATAGGATGAATTCAAATCCTAACACAACGAATAGCACTCTGTCTTGCCTATGACAAGCATGAGTCTGGCTCCAAAAACTCATTAGGTTGGCTTAAAAAAAAATCACAATTTCAAAAAGAAATACATTTGGGGTTCTTTTTATTTACCTTCGAAGCCTGTAGGATTCATGTTTTCAAGCTTTACTCTGCAACTACAAGGGCTAGAAATTTATTATTTTTAATGAAATATTAGAGTCAAATTTTGTCACATGGCTCCAGGTTCTAGGGCTTTAAGAAAAACACCAAATATTGTGAGACCCGTGACATCGACTTGGCAACATGGGCACTGGAGTTAAAGCAAGTTTCAGACATATCTTCTTTTTCTCATTCTCTGTATTGGTCTCTTTATTCCATATTTATATGTATATATTAATTTTGCACTTGCATATTACACTTGGTAAATACTAGCAAGCCTAGACTCCGTGAGAGCTTTTGTACTGTATGCAGAATTCCACCTATTTAAGTGGGATGATGGTGTGTGATTGCAACTTAACTCTCAATGGGAACTATGTAGCTAAATCCTATGCATTTCTTTGAAAATGTAGGGGTTAGAAATCACTATAACAGCTGATCCTCTCGCTGCTGTGTTAAAATCCAGAATCTTGATATACCGATGTATATTTAAATCTTTAGGAGTCATATGCTTACAAATGATTTCAAATTGACTAACTCAGCATGAGGTAGCTGAAAGTAAGCCTGTACATTTCAGTTTGGGCTTGGACACAAATTACTGAGCACATTGACTAAATCAAGAGGTTTTCGGGTCTGTGGGAACATCGGAGCAGTTTCCAGATAAGCTTGTGAAAAATCATTTGCACTGTACAAACTATGCAAGAGTTTCCAATAGCTCTTTTGAGGCCAAGTAAATCTGGGGTAATTAAGAAAATTTTTAACTCTTCAGTGTTCCCAAGAATCTCTGCATAGCTGACTACATATTCCTGCAAAATAAGAAACACTGAATTTCTCCCAATAACGCAACGCTATGAACACATCCAAAAGACCCACAACCCCACTGTCACCACCCGTTTAGTCATGGAAGACGGAGAACTTCTGTTTCCGCGTGACTTCTAGGATAATATTTTGACGGGTTCTCTATACAGCAAAGTGATAGGCTTTTGTTATATGTGTTTCAAATCATCCTGTTATCTCTGGATGTATTGATTAACTCAGTACTTTCTAAGCTAGCTATAAAAAAAGCTGCTACTTTCTGCATTAAAGAGCAAGAAAAATTGACAGGTAGATAACCATATTGATTCAACCCAAATGGTAAACGCAAGAGGCTTTATCTATGACTTATAAAACTTTTTATGGGCACCCAAAGCCAGTTTAATATGTTTTTTTTTAATTGAATGGAAAGCAAAAGCCTTGAGGTAACTAACTCCCCTTTAAAATACATGATGCTTTGGTTGCCAAATAAAGTGCATTACTGTATTTGTGGGCACATTGCCTTTTCAAATGCAAGCTTCACTCTTCCTTCAAAACTTTGGGGGTTTAAGAATAATGGACTGAATCAAGCATTAAGCTGAAATGCCCTCACTTGGTTCATATTTCAAAAGTCTGAGGCCAAAAACATACCAGAAGAGCACTATTTCTTGCAGTATTATAGGTTATAGCCATGTGTTTTTCATTTGTAAATACTGTGAGAAGTAATGTTTTTGAGATATTCCTAAATGAGGAACATATGATGCCAACCGTCTGAAGACCTCTTATTGTGGCCTTTTCTTGCTTTGTTAAGCTACTGTCCTATTGCTGAGACTGTCATTAGCAGGAGTATTTTTGGGGGGTAAGGATATTGGAGGGGGAAATAACACAG